CCCCAAAACCCCAAAACCCCAAAACCCCAAAACCCCATCTCTAAAATTTGATTTGAAATTATCTCAGACAAATTGTTAATCAATTGTCAGATTTTGCCACCTAGTGCTCATTTGTAGTTCAACTACGCTGTCTGTTCCTAAGCTATTCCTTGTCATTGAGAAACGATCCTTTTTCTTGACTCTTCTCTGTGTCATAGAAGACCTTTTCTGTAGCAAAATAAGAACACTTTTGAAGAATTTGTCAGCTGTTCCTTAGTAAAATTATTTTGAGAAGGGAAAATAGTAGGCCCATATTAATTAAAGAGGATTTAGAGAAGAAAGGAGACTCTTTTAGGCTTAACTATGTCAGAAGACATTTTATAATTTAACCTCAACTTACATTTCTTCAAGCAGGTTTGCTGGTAAATTCTCTTACAGGGTCAAACACATTTTGGGTAGTTATCATTGATAAGTCAAGATTCAAAGGAAGTGCCTTCACTTTTTGTCTTTGAGTTTTGAGTACAGGAACCATCGGAGCCTGACTAATCTTACTACTCCGTCCCTGAAAAAGACCCAATTTTCGTTCTACTCTCTTGTCTTTTTCTTGCTTTTTAATATGAAATGAGCTTTTCTTATTTTGATAGCAGCATCTTGTGATGAGCTTTGCTTACTTTTACATTTAGAATATTCTTTGTAACTTTCTTATCATCTTCATTAAGGGCAACCTTTTTAAGTATGACCACAGAATTCTTTCTTTCCTTGTCATTATAATTTGATAGGATTTTATCAATGGTAGTGCTGGACGGCTCTTCAAATATAGAGACCCTTCTTGATGCAGTTGTCATTTTTCTCCTTTTAGAATTCTTTAGTTTCTTCATCAAGCTATTTCAAACTACAGATATCTTTCTTCATCCTGATTTCTTTTTCCTTCTTCAAGAGATGTCCTAATGTGTTACCTAGAGGGTTACCTGGCTCTTTTTCTTGAGAAGACACCTGGATATTATATCCAGCAGGGGAATTAAGCTTTATTGCTCTCTTATAGTAATCCTCATCACAATTATCTTCTGATTCTTCAGTCCTAAAAAGGGTTAGAAGGAATATACAAGAATTCTACATCGGAGATCCTTCTTTCCCCAGCATAAATTGGCTTGCTTCTTTCTTTTATCCGAGTTTTGAGGATAGGGACTTCAATCAGTTGATTAAGCCTTGAGTGTTCTCTAAGCATACTTGCATACTTCTTCTTCATTAGGGGTCTAAATGAACTTTATTATTCCGTTTAAAAAATAGAGCAAAAACATTTCAACAAACATACGCTTTATTTAATGTTGCTTTCTTGTGAGTCTGCTCAGGATTCTTTCTTTGGAAACAATAATTCATCAAGCTTGGCTTTTCGTAACTTTCACCACTTCTGTGGATTGATTTATTTAGTTGTCCTCTTCGTAAATTTGAGACCTCTGGCTGAATCAGGTTTATTTAACCTTAATACTCATCCTACACAATTCTACACACTCCTTACTTCGGTATCTCTCTTTTAGCCACCTTCTTAGTCCTGGCGCAAGAATTAATAGTCTGAATAAACTTCCCTGCTGTATAAAACTTTTGGTCATTATTAAAGATCAAATCTGAGATCTTATTCCAGTTCTCTTTTGCTTTATCTAGGTTCTAAATCCCCAATGAATACTTAACCCTCCCTAATGTTACCTTCTTAAGGTCGTCTTCAGTGCCAAACTCCATGTACTTATTTGATGATGTTGATATAGTCGTAAGCGCCATAGAAAGTAGCAAGTTTATTTCTCACGTTCATTATCAGGATTATTCAAAGCTTCTAGCTTTTTCCAGTGGTCGCTTACTCGGGAGACATCTTTATTTGAACCCGTTGTTCTCGACTAAGAGTTAAGAGGGATTTACAGCGAGGTGAGCTATATGAGGGGTTAGAGGGAGGCGGAAGGAGGGGAATGGGTGGAGAGGGGGCAGAGAGGGGTTTTGGAGGGTGAAAGAGGGGTTTTGGAAGTCTGGGTGGTTATGTGAGGTTTTTGAAAGTAAAAAGGCATTTTATGATGAGATGTGAGTGATTGGAGATCTAGAAATGAAAGAGTTCACAATAAAAAATTTAAGTAAATTTTTAGAAATTGACTAAACCATACTCTCAAGGAGCACTTGGGCTTAGAACTGTAGTTGTCTTAAATAAAGCCTTCGGATTAAGTTTGTCAATCATCGGCTTGGTGACGGCTAATTTGTCGTATTGCTATAAAATTATTAGATTGCATACATTCTTAGAACTAATCAATCGATTTCTGAGCTTAGCATTATACTCTCCCTTAATTTTCATTTCTTCTGGAGAATTGGCCTAAATGATAACCTCTTACCTACATTCTCTCTCACTGACAATCTGTCGACTGCTTCTTGGAGATCCTTTTGATAAGTGTCACTTGTCAGGTACATATATCGAATTTAAAATCTTCAATATTTTATATACAAAGAGGGGTTTTGGGGTTTTGGGGTTTTGGGGTTTTGGGG